ATTTTAAAGGCAGTAGGTGCATTTTCCAAAAAAGCAAGTTAAAAAATATCAGCCGGTTTTGCCGACAGGTGTATACCCTCAGCTTCGCCTTATGATTGTTTAAACTGTTGACGCTTTTATTGGGAGATTCCGAATGAGTAGACAAACAATGTCCATTTCATACCTGACCTAAGTCTGATATAAATATTATCACGTCCCAGATTTGGGCTACATAGACTACTTCTTTTCTTCACATTTTGTGAGACATGTGATAATTTTTGTAAAATGTTGAAATTTGCTTGAGGTGCCGTAGATGGCGGACAGAATTATTCCATTTCATCTGATAAAATTATTGGTATTTACAAAATTTGAAGCAAATCGATCATTTATTTCCAATTTTATCATTTAATGTTGAACTTTTGTAGGGGAGGTACTAGAAGGAATAGGCCGATAGATTCCATATTCACATCAGATCTCTGGTTGGATGTACCAAGTTTGAAAATTGTTTGCAAGTTTTGAGGCCTATAAATACGGAACATTTTACCCTTTGTGGGGGGATGTACCAGAGGAAGCTATTATAAATTTTGGAATTTACGAAGTTTAGGGGGAGGTACCAGAAGGAGTGAACCGATACATCCCATCTTCACACCATATCTGTCTGTAGTAAAAATATTGAGATTCGTGAAATTTGTGGAGTATCGGATGCTTATTTCTCTTTTATGGTTTTTTTGTTATTCAACATCTTGATCCTTTGTGGGGGAGGTACCAGAAGTAGTGGGCCATATTTAGAACAATCTTGTGTTAAGGAAAATATAGGGATGTGTGAAATTTGAGGAGAATCGGATGATTAATGCATTTTATGAGATACATAATTATTCAAAAATTTTTCCCGTTTTGGGGAGGTACCAGAAGAAGTTCAATAAATTCCATCAGCACACCAGACCTAGTGTTGATAGAAAAATTGGGATGTACGGAGTTTGAAAATAATCGGATGATCGTTTCGCGTTTTATGAGTTTCGTGGTTATTTAAAAATGTTGGCCCCTTTGTGTAGGAGGTACGGGAAGGAGTGGACCGATATATTTTAAGTTCATACTAGATTGAGATGTACGGAAGTCGAAGAAAATCGAACCATTATTTCACATTTTATAAGATTTATAATTATTCAAAATTTGGACCCTTTGTGGGGATAGGTACCAGAAGGAGTAGGCGAATGTATCCCATCTCAATACTAGTTTTTGTGTTGGTGGAAATATTAGGATGTGTCACGTTTGAAAATAATCGCATTCTCATTTCGCCTTTTATAAGCTTCATGATATTCAAAATTTTGACGCATTGTGGGGGAGTTATCAGAAGGAGTTGTCCGTTCTATACGTTCTTGATACCAGGGGAGATGATGGCTTCGATAGTCCTCCGAAAATATGCATGCAATCTTAGAAAAATGTTATAAAATCCCAAGGCAATAGGTTTTATCATTTTTTAATATTCTAAAAAAAATCACGCTCATTGCTCAGATACCCTATGAAAAGTATTTTCAAAAAACAGGTCAGAAAAAAAATTGATTTAAAACAAGTAAAAAGTCCTTAAGTTAAGGCCGGGCCGAACTTCTAATACCTTCCACCATTGGGTGAACAAACGATTTTTATGCGAAAGTAATTGGATTCAAACGTGTTCCACTTTAAAGTACAAACTCCATAAGATCGGTAGGAGAATATGGGTTGGAACCGTTATATGGGGGGCCATAATAAAACGGGAGCGTATATAGACAATTTTATAGTACAACAATTGTAATCTAATGCGAGGTAATTGTGACTAAGATGACTAGGACCAATGTGGAAACCATTATGAAGTACAAACACCAAATTTCAAGGTGGCCCTGATATTCAAAATTCTGCCACCGGAGCTAGAACCCATTCCAAACTTCAAATACCAATTTTTAGACAAATACCTAGAAAAATGTGGGTAAAACTATCAAAATACTGAATATCAGGAGGTATCGTTATACGGAAGATAAACGAAAACGTGAAAACTATATATATATATATATATATATATATATATATATATATATATATATATATATATATATATATATATATATATATATATATATATATATATATATATATATATATTTATATATAGCCCCCATATAATCTTATAACCCCCATGGTACCTCTCTCTCTCTTCGGTATTTTGATGATTTTAGCTACATTATAAACAGAGTTTTTTTCAATTTCGGATTTGAATATTGTAATATCTTATGACAAAAGTTGAATATGCAGGTCCATGTCATCGTATAGACCCTAATATACGGCTACATTATTTTTAAGATATAAATAGGATTTTTAACGGATTTTATTTTTTTTGAAAATTGCCAAATTTGTACCGAATGCTGGAGGGTATACAAAGTTCGGATCGGCCGAACTAACAGCTTTTTTACTTATCTTAATTCTTGGCCTAATTCAATTACCTTATATTTTTGTTAAGGTAAATGTTCTGAAATAATAGTTGCTAAAATTTATTGTCAAAGAATGGCAGGTTTATATCAAACTTTGACATCAGTATTTAAGTTGTCCTATCTCCCACATTTGTAAAGCTACATTAACATTGGTGGTAGAAAAAAAAACTTGTTAAAAAAAAACATTTTTGAACAATGTAGTAAAAAAAAAACACTTGTTAAAAAAACATTTTTGAACAATGTTAACCCTTCAAGAATTTACTAACCGACTTTGGTGGAAAGTCAAGCTGTGTGTAAAATTCCAAGAGGTCTGTGAAATTGAGATACTGGGTGGCGTCTGGCTCAGAATCCAAAGAAAATTCGATTATGTTATTTAAAGTTGGGACCGCCTTTATTTACAAAGAACGCCTTTATTACAAAGTCATTAGAAAACCAGTAAGGAAAGTCTTCAAGTCGGGCGGGGCCGACTTTATGATACCCAACACCACTTTGCTAATTAAGTAGAGCTCCACATAACAATTAAAAGTTTTTATGGGAGAATTCAATCATACACGCTATGATTATAATTATAATTAAAAGTTCAAAGGACTAAATATGCCGAAGCATTTGTATCTTTTATATTCGGAATTGTATTGCCCATTTGGTGCACAATTAATTGGAAATCGGATAAAGATATATATGGGAGCTATATCCAAATCTGAACCGATCTCGATAAAATTTGGTAAAGATATTTCTGAGCTGTATTTGATATATTTCCCTGAATATCGTTGTTATGGAGGGCATATTACGGTTGTGGGTAACAAATATAACAAATCGGATGAATAATATATATGGAAGCTATAGCTATATCTAAACCGATCTTCACCAAATTTGACATACTAACTTCTGGACTCAATTCGGTCGTAAGTGCCAAATTCCATCCCATTTGGACAAATATTAGACGTTTGGTGCACAATAAAAGGTAAATCGGACGAAGTTATATATGGGAACTATATCCAAATCTGAACCGATCTCGATAAAATTTAGCAAAGGTATTTCTGAGCTGCATTTGATATATTTCCCCAAATATTGTTGTTACAGAGTGCATATATTACGGCGGCGGTGGACAAAAATAACAAATCGGATGAAAAATATATATGGGAGCTATAGCTATATCTGAACCGATTTCGATCAAATTTGGCACACATATTTTCAGGCCTAATTTGGGTGTATATGCAAAATTCCATACAATTCGGGCTGATATTACACGTTTGGTGCACAATAAAAGGCAAATCGGACGAAGATATATATGGGAGCTATATCTAAATTTTTACCGATTATCCCCAATTTTAATAGGGTTCGTCCTTGGGCCAAACAAAAGATCTTTGCAAAATTTCATCTGGATCGGGCAATAAATGCGACCTGTACTTTGTTTACAAAAATACATGGACAGACGGACGGACGGACGGACGGACGGACGGACGGACGGACATGCATTAATCGACTTAGAATGTGATTCTATGCAGATCATCAAAAGGAACTATGGGTCTATCTCGTTTCCTTCTGCCTGTTACAAACAAATGCACAAAGACATAATACCCTAACCACCTTGTGGTGTAGGGTATAAAAAGCATTTTCCCCATAACATCAACAAATTTGTAAAATATCGAAAAAAGGCATTTTACAAATTTGTTGTTGTTATGTAGAAAATGCGTCTTTTTCTAAAGACTTTGTAAATAAAGGTGTTCTTCTAAACTTAGCATTTTATGAACATGTTGTCTTGCCAAATTTGTAGAATAAAATGTAAACCACGCGCGGTCCTCAATCCACAGTGGATAATGTTTAAAACGTATTTATTAAAAGTCAAATTTTTCGACAAATTTCTTTTTTTGTTACACAGTTAATTCCCTGATCCTTATCGATGCTGCAATGCTCCGTCCTAAAGGTATGCCCGAAAACTTAGTACATAACTAATTTATTTCCTCTTTAGCTTCCTTTGTTTTCTTACTTTTCATTATTATTCTGAATTGTTTGTTCATTATGTTAATTAATAGTTTTTTTTTTTGTTATTCTTTTAAATAATTCCAAAGTGACTTCCTCTGCTGTGCGTGGGTGCGTGTGTGTGTGCATCCTCTCCTCAAAGTTATGTCGTCGACAACTTAGTGGCATAAAGCGCCATCTTAACGGAGAGTTAAATCACTTAGAAGTTAAACACTTTTCAACAACTTGCAACGGCGAACCCTGTTACTATCCATCTATCTAAGTGCATGTAGATACCTTCGGAAAGGGGTAGTGGTAGGGGATGGCGTGCCCAACACTTTATGGCCGAGCAAACTTCATTGCTTCACTTACGCAAGAGTTACAACATTTGAGAATTATTATTCCTCGTTGTCGTCTTGTTGCAATAGTTGGCCCACCTCTGTTCAGTCGCCACAACCTCCACCGCTGCCACCGAAGTGCATGGAGTTTTATTTTTCTATTGCCGAGCAAAAAAAAAAAAAAAAAAAACAAATACGGAGCCACTTTATCCAAAGCCATTAAAAGTCACTTTTGTAAACTAAGCTAGACAAACTTTAAACTCACCTCTGTGTTCAACAAAATTCATTTTCCACAGCATCAGTATCATCAGGAAGATGCTTCTTAGCCGTATCTCCATGAGGAGATAGATTGCGATAAGAATTGGATATTAATGGTGGTGGGACAAGAGCAATGGGATTGTAGATATTATGGCACAGTGGTGTTGGAAGTCGTTGTAGATTTCAAGACGCGAACAGTTTTCTGAAAAAATAAGGAAGAAAATTATTATAGAATGCCTCCTTATATATGGGAGACCGCAAAATGTGGACCTCTATAAATAATTTTTTACTGTTAATGTTTCTAAATTATAAGGTGACAAAAAAAAAAACTGAAATATAAAAAATATGAAATTTAAAAACGGGGTTTATGAATAGACTTTAGCAAAAAGTAGAACGACATGACACATTTTTTTACCCTCCATCATAGTATAGAGGGTATATTAAGTTTGACATTCCATTTGTAACACCTAGAAATATACATTTTAGACCCTGAAAAGTATATATATATATATTTTTGGTGAGCATAAAATTCTATTTCCACCACCCGTCTGTTCGCCTGTGGAAATTAATCTAGCTTCCAAACCAATAGAAGTAGGCTAACAACATTTTACTCAGATGTGTGTTTGGTCTGCAGAACTTTTGGTATTGAAAATGAGTTATATATGTCCACGTTTTGGTATAGCCCCCATATAACTGAACCTCCCTAAATTCGGTATTTTAATGATTTTAGCGGTATTATTCAACGGAATTGTTTCAAACTTCGTATTTGCAGTTCGTAGAGGGGGCTGAAGTCTCGATGATATTAGGGAAATTGTTCACAGGAATTTTTTTAAATTTCGTATCAAAAATTCATAATGGGTACTACTGCCGATGACAAAAATTACTAAATCCGAACCAGTAGTGAGATTATCTAAATAATTTTTTTGCTACCGACAAAAATCTTTAACTTTGAAACCCAAAATGTTGATATAAACAACTTTAAGAACGAAGTTAGCAATTTTTAAAAAAAAAAAAATATAAATAAAAAATTCCTTAAAAATTCTGTTAAAATCATAAAAACACCGAATGCATTAGCGTCTATAAGACCACGTGGACCTGCATCAACAAAATCATCAAAACATCGAATATAGGGAGGTACTATTGTTTGGGGCTATGCCAAAACATGGACCTATACAGCTAATTTTCTGTCATAGGCTGTAGTATTCATTACGAACTTCGAATACCAAATTTGAGACAATTCCGACAATTCCAAATTTAAATTATGTCGCTAAAATCAATAAAATATGGAATATCGGGAGGATCCCGTTATATGGGACTACACGAAGACGTGAACCTGCACAAACACTTTTCGGACATCGGATTTTATGTTCGTTTTGGTTATTCAAAATATTGACCCTTTGTGGGGAAGGCACCAGAAGAAATGGTCCAATCTCTACCATCTTTATAACAGATCTTGAGTTCAAAGAAATATTGAGCTGTGCCAAGTCATAATGGAATCGGATGTTAATTTCGCGTTCTTTCGAAATATTCACATATTCACATCAGATCTTATGTTAGTAAAAATAATAGCATATGTGAAATTTGAAGATAACCGGATGCATATTTCGGATTTTATGACCGTCTTTATAACAGATCTTTTGTTCATAGAAATATTGATCATTGCCAAGTTTGAATGGAATCGGATGTTAATTTCTCGTTTTGGGAGCTTCATGGATATTCAAAATTTTGACTCTTTGTGTGAGAGGTACCAGATGGGATGGACATATAAATCCCATATTTACAGCAGAAATAATGGCACGTGTGAAATTTGAAGAGAACCGGATGTATATTTCGGATTTTATGATCGTTTTGGTTATTCAAAATGTTGACCCTTTGTGGGGGAGCTACCAGAAGAAATGGTCCGATATCTACCATCTTTATAACAGATTTTATTTTCATAGAAATATTGAGCAGGGCCAAGTCTGAATGGAATCGGATGTTAACTTCGCGTTTTAGGAGCTTCATGGATATTCGAAATTTTGACCCTTTGTGTGGGAGGTACCAGAAGGAGTGAATCTTCATACCACACCTTGGGTTAATAATAAACATTCTGTTGTGTGTAATTTGAAGGCCATCGGACTCTTACATCACTTGATGAGTGGACCAATATTGTCCATTTTCGCACCTGACCTAGAGCTGATGCAGATATTAGGATTTGCAAAGTTGGAGCAAAATTGGATTATCGATTCTCTCTCTGTGCAGAAAATATATTTTTTTGCTTCAAAATTTTGACCTTTTGTGGGGGAGGTACCAGAAGGAGTTGACCGATACATTCTATCTTAACACCAGACCTTGGATTGATAAAAAATATTGGGATGTGTGAAATTTGAAGACAATCGGACAATCACGTTTTATTAAAGTTGTAAATATTCAAAATTTTGACCCTTTGTGGGGTAGTGGACCGATATTTTCGCACCTGACGTAGCACTGGCGCAAATATTAGAATTTGCAATGTTGGATTATCGGTTCTCTTTCTGTGCTGTAAAATATTTTCTTAGAACATTTCGGCCCTTTGTGGGGTCAGAAGCAGTGGAACGAAATTGCCCATTTCCGAACTCGATTTAGGTTTAATAATAATATTACGATATATCAAGTTTGGACCAAATTCGATACTTCCTTTCAGAGTTATCGTTCGTACCAGCCATACAGGCAGACGGATGGACAGACGGGGCCTAAGTTTAAACAAATCGGAGAATCCATTCCCATTTTCTGAGAGTTACAAGTATTTAAATATGGACCCGGTGTGGGAGAGGACGAAAAGGAGGTCGGCCGAAAATCTAATAGGAAAATCTAATGGGCTGTCTAAAGATGTTCTTAATGCGGATTCGAATAGGTTTTTGATACCCTCAGCCATATGGCTACAGAGGGTATATATCATTAGGACTTGTTATGAGTGTGGAAGGTGTTATCATTTGGCAAAAATATTATATTCCACCCTTCTTCATCTTTGTTTGTCCGCTGCTTTTGCTGTCCGCTCGCAACCTTATAACTTATACTTAAACACTTTACATACTTTGGCACGGTTTCGAAGTGAGAGTTGTTCAAGCCCTTCACACACATCAACAACATGGATCTGTAAGTATAACAACTTCAGAATTTCCTTTGACCACCCATAGACTGCCCTTCAGAACCACTGTTAATGTCAAACAATATTATGAAAGTGCCTCTTGGACCCAACGATATGTTGAAGATGACACCGTTGCGTTTTATGCCGTCATTGCATCTATCTAAACTAGAAACACACACACTCTCACATACACCTGTGCACCTTTGTCAGATATGATAGCGTAGATATGGGAAAAATAAGCAGAAGGCCTGTGTTAGGTGTCGCAGCAGTCCGCCGCCTCCTTGCAACTTGAAAGTCATTTGCGAAAGTAAAAGAAAAATCGTCTCCATTAAATTACATTTACCATAAATGAGCTTTACTATTGCCACTCGTTACTGCCGCCATTCACTGGCGCCACCTCTACTGCTACTAAACTTGGTTAGTTCTGCTCTATTTGGCAAAGGAAGGGGGAGGTGGGCGGCGGTTGCAAGTGGCTGCTCCATTAGTTTGAATTTGGACCTGCAACAACTAACATCCAACTCAAACTCTGGCAACAAAGTGGTTGCCTTGTCGGCGGCTGATGGTGGTGGTAGTCTGTCTGTCTGCCTGGCTGTTTGCTTTGCTCTTGGCTTGCTCTAGAGGAAGTTTTTGAACAAACAAACATGAACTTAGACAACAATGTGAACTGAACTCCTGTTCTGTATTCTTTCTTTGCTTTTTTGCAAGTCAACGAGTAAAAGATGCACAGTCTAGGTAATGGAAGAAAAATAGAACAGAAAAAAGTTAGGGGAGGGCGAGAGAAAAACAACACGACTTTTTTTCTTCTTTGCCCGCTTTTTTTGTTTTCTCCATCCAAAAATAGTTCTTAAGAAAATTAAAAGTTCTTTCTAAACTAATTACAGATGCTTTCCGAGTGCTGTGCCTTTCGTCCGGTACGTGTGGTACGCATGTTGCCAGTGCTACCTTCCATCCAACAACCTTGTCAGAATTACAGTCAGTGTCAACGTTTATTGGATAGTATGATGTGTAAATAACCTTTGATGTTATTAGCACATCACTTTCCGAAATATGTTTAACTTTTGTTTTTGATGCTGTTGTTTTATTTTTGTTGCCTTTGTATTTTTTCGAAAGAATAATTAAATATTAAATGTAAGAGAGGAACAAACAAACTTATTGATTGATTAAATATACACAAATTTTTCTAAGTAGAATTAACGTTAATGTATGTAGAAGATTTAAAAATAATAGGGTGTAATGTTGGTCGGACTTAGAATTTACAGGCACGTGTTTTAGAAAAAATATAGGGTGAGATAAAAAAAGCTGCAACAAAGTCAAACGCCATAATTTTTACATTTTTTTTAATTTTATTGAATGGAAGCAAAAATGTCGGAAATAGCATCGGAAATTTTAGAATAAGTTTAGATTTGTTCGAATTGGTCACCTTTGGTACGAATTATGGCCTTCAAACGGCCGATGAAACCCTCACACGCTGCCCGAATGTTGCTCTGAGGTATTTCGGCCCATTCCCACCGAAGCGCTTGCTTGAGGTGATCGACACTTTGGTATTTTTTAGTGCCAAACTTACTTTCCAAAATATTCCAGACACAAAAGTCTAGCGGATTGGTATCCGGAGATTTTGTTGACCATTGTGCGCTGGAAATAAAGCGAGGAACCTCACTTTGTAACCATTCTTGGGAGGCACGTCTGAGTGCGATGGTGCTGAGTCTTGTTGGAATGTCCAACGTCTGCTGAGAAAATGTTTAATCACCCTCCAGAATATTTTTGCGATAATATTCGGCATTTATACTGATGCCACGGTCGATTAATACGAGCGGAGTGGTGGCCCACACCATCACCATGGCCGGCACTTGCGTTCTGGTGGCCAACCGAAGGTGCATATTTTCAGCTGACCTCTTTGGCAAGTAAACACGATCATTTAGTTTGTTTACAAATTGCTGGACAAGGAATGTTTTTTCATCGGAGACGAAGAAAACCAAATTCGGCAGTTCACCACTTTCGGCCAAGCGAAGTAACTCTTTAGCTCCTTTGAGTCTATTTTCTGTTGTCTTTCTGTTGCGGTTTAAGTTCTTGATCTTTTTGGAATTTCAATGGCTTTT